TTTCTCCGTATATACAGGGTGAGTCAGTTTTTTGTAGACAAACTTTAACAGAAGATAGAACACAGGTTTTTAAAAAGAAAAGTTCCTATAAACATATGTCGTAGAAGGCTTCGTTTCCGAGATACGGGGTGTTGAATATATATTTTTTTTTTCTCGAATATTCATTATAACTTATAAACGAATGCTTAGATTTTTTTCATGTTTGGGAGATAATGCCTATTAATTAAGTGGTATAAAACAAGCGATAAAAATGTTCAAAAACTTGCACACTGGCGGAGTGGAGGGGGTGCTCAACCCCTTTCTTAAACAGAACTTCTACGCCAATGACTATTTTTTTAAAAAACTGTTATTTTTATTATCTACATATATTTTAACAAGAATAATGTTCATTCTTCTGTCTCGAAATTCCTGTGCGTTTCCGAGTTATTTTGATTTTTAGTGTTTCTTGTGGTACTAAATTAAGTAATTTATTTATTATCAATTATCGGATAAATATTTCATTCTTTCAACGAAACCTACCTAAATATGGTTTGTTAAGGATTTTAAAAAGTCAAATAAATATTTGTTATATCAAGCTATACTCAAATACAAGACTTTTATAAGTTGAAATCTGTTACATTACATACATACAATACATTATTGTGTAGTTGCCAAAATGTTTTAAGAAGTTGTTAATTAAATATTGTTATGAATTCAAAAAATTTCTCCATAAACATTAACATGAATGTTCATTCAATGTTTTTTTTTGTAATTTAGTTGCAGTACATTAGTATTTACGCAGCACGTAATAAATGAGGAAGGATTGTTAAGATTAGTGTATTAAACAGATTTCAACTTATAAGTCTTGTATTTGAGTAGGGCTTGATATAACAAACGTTTATTTTGACTGCATTGGAAAGAGATGAAGAATAAGAGATTTCGGCTTTTTAGAATCCTTAACAAACCATATTTCGGTAGGTTTCGTTGAAAGAATTAAATATTTAGCCGATAATTGATAATAAATAAATAGTCCACAGTACAGGCCCCCTCTAGAAAGTTGATTACCACATACTTTATAACTCCTGAGGAGCTTCGTTTTGACGAGTCTACCACATTTTTCCTCTGCGACTTTTCTCGATTCCTCAGCTTTTCCACTCGGAAAAGTCCAAAAACATGGCAATTTCCCGGAGTCTTGAAAACTCAACACCACATCTTTTATTTTTAGCTTAAGTAACTGGAAATTTTGTTGCAAATGCCGATTTAAATTTGTCCGACAGAAATTTTTCCGACATTGACGTGTCTACCGGTCAAAACATGCCAAAATAACAGGGTATTGAAAATCAATTACCACATAGGTAATTTTTATTAAAATTAATTGTAAATAATTAATTCGGTCAAAAAGTATTGTCCGACAAATTTCAAGCCGCGCTTTTTCAGTCCAGCTGGAAATCGGAATTTTCACGGGGTATGAAAAATCGATTACCACATATCTAATTTTCATTTTTTCCACTTTTAAATTTACTGTACAAAATAGTAATATAAGTGTCCGACGATTTAATGTCCGCAAATTATTAAAAAATCAATAAATCAATAATCGTGATGAAATTTAATTTTTTCACTCCAAAAATTTCATATTTATAAATGGTTATTAATTATTATTATGTAAATTATTATTTGTTTCAAATAAATAATTATAATATTGCTTATTTTATGCTTAAAAATTTAAAAGTTATAAACAAATGAAGTTATTTTTGAGGCGATTAATACGATCTTAGTGCATAATGCATTATTTCTAAATAAATTAATATTATACTTGATATAAAAATCCTTTTTTCTCTTTCAAGTTTTCATTCGCGTTTGTTATTTTTCTTTACAAAAATTTTCCTATTTTTCTAAAAGAAAATCCCAAAACTTTTGTGCTTAATTTTTTTACACCATACATACTTTTTGAAATCGTTTAATTCTTTTCTCGGTATTTATTTGGCTAAATTGAGCATACCTATAGAGATTTACAATTACAAGAATAAAACGAAAAATATATACAGGGTGTTTCAGAAAGACCTCCCGTAAATAAAAGGTGTGATAGTACGACAAAAAATGAGAATTTTTTGTCTTATGAACTATATGTCTATCTCCTCTTGTTTTCGAGATACAGAGACAAAATAAAAATTTTTAAATAACATTTTTATGAAAATTATGCCAAATACGCTAGTCTAATTATTTTTTGTATATTTCATAGAAGGCGCTAGTTATGCTACATTCTTATTACATTTTAAGTTCTATTTTTTTTAAGGTTAGGTTTTTTACCATTCGGGCTCCAATTTCTATTGTACAATTTTATTTCCTAAAAATAATGTACTCTTGTTAGAACTTCCTAATGTGGACGATTTTCGAGAAAAAAGGCTTTTAATTAAACTCTTACAATATTACACTATAAAATAAGTGACTTTTCTCAAAAGTAAGCTTGAGCTTTGAGAAAAGTCACTTATTTTATACACCGTAATATTTTAAGAGTTTAATTAAAAGCCTTGGATTTTAATGAAACTTGCTGTGGACTTGTTCCTAAGACTCATGTTTTGAAGAAGCTACCGCATCCACCGCCTTGGGCAAGTGGTAAATTCTTGAGTGTCTTGGTACAAGAATTACCAGAACTTTTTATTTGGCCGCTGGAATCAACTCATTTTTATTTTATTGATGCATAAGTCCTTTTTCGATATTTTCATGTTCTTGGTAAAATTTTGTAGCATTCATAGTTTTTACACAAAAAAATGTTTTCCGTTTCGTTGCGACTTAACAATATTTTAGAGGTTTTTACAATTAATTTTACTAAAAATTACCTATGTGGTAATTGATTTTCAATACCCTGTTATTTTTTCGAGAAAAGTCGCAGAGGAAAAATGTGGTAGACTCGTCAAAACGAAGCTCCTCAGGAGTTATAAAATATGTGGTAATCAACTTTCCAGGGGGGGGGGGCTGTACTGTGGACTAAAATTAATTTAGTACCACATCAAACACTAAAAATCAAAATAACTCGGAAACGCACAGGAATTTCGAAACAGAAGAAGGGACATTATTTTTGTTAAACTGTATGTAGATAATGAAAATAAGTTTTTTAAAAAAATAGTCATTGGCGTAGAAGTTCTGTTTAAGAAAGGGGTTGAGCACCCCCCTCCACTCCGCCACTGTGCAAGTTTTTGAACATTCTTATCGCTTGTTTTATGCCCCTTAATTAATAGGCATTATCCCCCAAACATGAAAAAAATCTAAGCATTCGTTTATAAGTTATAATGAAAATTCAAGAAAAAAAATTATATTCAACACCCTGTATCTCGGAAAGGAAACCTTCTACGACATATGTTTATAGGAACTTTTCTTTTTAAAAACATGTGTTCTATCTCTATCTGTTAAAGTTTGTCTACAAAAAACTGACTCACCCTGTATATACGGAGAAAGGGAGATATACATACACCTATCCTGCACTTCAGCACCGTGCTATGAAATCATTAGCTTCAAAGCTCTATATCTTTAAACTTGCACATAGGATTGCTTTGGGCCCATGACAACTTTTGCTTAGGATGGTGAGAGCTATATCATATTTCAATTTCAGCCATTTTGACCGAAAGCCATTTTCCATAAGGTTTGTGCGGGGTCCTTTAACATCGGATATTGCTTATGCGACGCCCTCTATAGCCGACTCTGATTTAATATATAAATTATCATTCCTTATCTTAAAATATCTTAAAAGAATATTAAGACATATTACTATACTATACTATACTATACAGGGTAGCTGCCGAGGTATCCGAGATACTTCGTATATGAATTATACGACTAATTTTAAGCAAAAATTATTCTATTCACTTTTCCCAAATTCCAAGAGATCTTGAAATATAGTGGTTTGAAGATCACATGGGTAGTTGCTAGAGTAAATTACATTGTTGCGACAATATTCCATAAAACCACTATGGTTTCTCAAATATTGGGTGTAGAAATAATCGCAGTAGCCCTTCCATTTATTCCTGAACCGAAGCCTGAATGATCCCGAAATATTCAGAAGTACAAAATTTCGTCTTTCTCATAAAAAAAAATATTTTTTCTACAAAATTCTATGGCTTTACGTACCTTAACGCTTATCATTCCAAAATTAATAATAAATGCAGAGCCTTCATAAATGTTTACAAGCCACGTTACCGCCGAGCTTAGGCAACCAACATTGCATAGTTGGTACTAGTAACGAAAAATTCCTAAATCTTAACGTGACTAATATTATTGATTCGTTTACAATGAACAATGACAAACTGATACGTCTACGCTCGAGATCGGTAATTTGTTAACAGGTGCATATACTTAACATGTACATATACGTATTGCCAGAACAGGTACATATACGTATTGCCAGAAAATGTTGGCAATGAAGAAGTTCACTGGTTACCGGCAACTTTTCAAAAAAGATAATGTACAACATATAAAGCTACCTATTAGCGTAGCTTATAAACTCAATAAATAGCTAAATATGTGTACCTAACTAGCAATTGTAATTCAGTCAGTTTCATGAAATTACCTGACTGTCGCTATTTTTGAATGTTAGTGGCATTACTGTACTTTTTTATTGTAAAAAGCAACTAAAACGCAATATTTCCTCGACTGCAGTCAAGTCAAAAATCTGTCGCGATTTAATTTGTTTTTTTATATTATGTTTTGTGTTTCCATACAACTTGCCTCATTTACATGATGTTTTTTTTAAGTCTTTAAATAAATCCCGGATCGTACCTACCGTTTTTTTGTGTAGGTACCGGAACTTTTTCATCCGGTATTGCACAGAACTGGTGCTTTCTAATCGAAACAATACGATAGGTACGCCAATACCGGTATTTGTTAAGGTATCGTGCATATCTATTACCAACATGAAGGAAATAAAATTATGTACTATTCCAAACAAAATTACTGGTCACATGGCATGTAATCATTAATGACGGCCCCGTAGTGTATTCAATTCAAAATACCTTTTTATCATTTTTTAGATCTAGCTGCAATTGTCTGCCTGGATGTTTTGAAATGAATTTCTCAGATTCGAAATCTTACAGTGTACTATCAGATAAAATAGTAAATCTTCATCACATAGGAAATATATCTACAGATTATTTCATGTAAGCAAAAATAATTTTTTATAAATTTTATTTACTAGCTAATTTTTAGAAAAAATATGGCTGTGGTACATTTCTTTTTCCCCAGCTCTAAATTTTCAAAACAAGTTAAAAGTCAGTTATATGGATTTACTGAAATTTTGTGTAAGTATATGTATTATTCGTCAGTAGCGCACTGTAATTTGAGTGAATATGCTCATAAGACCGTTTGTTCTAAATAATTTGGTTTTACATTATGCAGAGTATTAAAATTTTCGAAGAAATATCACATTTAGAGCTAAACAATTGTGAAATTTTGTAATTTATTTGATTAATGTTTTCTTTATTAATAGTTTTTAATATTTTTTAGCCAATGTAGGAGGACTTCTTGGCTTATTCATGGGATTCAGTTTTTTAAGTTTTGTGGAGCTGGTGTATTTTGTAACTTTGAGATTTTTATGCAATTATCTCAAAACAAAACATAAAATTGAAGGAAACAAGAACAAAACACCATGGATTAGTAATTATTCTGTGTATCCTTTTATAAAATAAAATATACCTAAAATGTACGGTTCATACATCTAAGGCAGAAGACTTGAATAGAATGGTTAGAGTTTAAAATAGAATATATAGTGAAAGGACTACTGTCACACACTTACCAGTTAAGTTTTAGTAATGATGTAAGTCTAACCAATAGCGTTTAGTATGTATCAATCTCCACATATCAAAAATTCTTCATCTTAGAGCGTATGGACTGATTCTCTTGAATAAGTTATATGAATTATGAATACATGTATAAGTAATATTATTGTTTCATTAAATATACGCATTAGTTGACAAATTATTGAAAAGACAAATTGTAAAATAAATGCATTGCTACTAGAGTAATGCAAATACAGTAGTTACAATAAGTTTTTTTCTTGTCAGACTTAGTTACGTAATAAAAAGGAACCTTCAAAATAGATAGAAAATAAATCACTAACAGAAATAAATTTGGTCATATCACAACTTGAAAAATTGAACATTAATAATCTCGAAGATTTTAAATCGCATATTTAAGAGGAAATTGAAAAGTTTTCAATTGCTCTGTATTTTTCCCAAGACATGCAATTTTATATGATCAAATTAGATTGCTACCAAAATGGATTAGCAGGTTTTCATGTATTGTAGTTTTTAAATGATGTATTTGCATAAAAAAGTCTGAACGCGATTGTTTAAAAAAATGTAGCACTAATTTGTGACTTTATACTCATTAAATCTCAAGTCGCATTGGATCAAAAAGATTTTTTATTCAAAGATTTAATATTATGGACATATTGAAGGATATGTAGATACAGGAACAACTAATAGCCATAGATATATCGATATTTTTAATCGTTTCGTAATATTAAATTTAAAACTATTTTTATTAACATTTATTAAGTCTAGTCAAATTAATAAAATCAGTCATTTGATTTCTTTAGACAAGCTTAAAGTGATGTATTTAACTCTTACATTATTATTGATCTACGATAAATACTAAAGCTTTGTAACATCTTTGCTAAGAAACAGCTATATTCAGGGAAGTAACATATTGTTTTATATTAAGGAATTGCAAATTATTAAGATTAAAATTTGAGTATAAGTAGTCACATTCTAATTCTTTAAAAAAATGAAAGCAAATTTAGCTGTACAAAATATGGAAAGTGCTGGACACAACTGATTTTTTTCGAGTTTCTAATCATGACCAATATTCCCTCTAATTTTTTTGCCGACTGCGCGGTACAAAAGTATACGGGAGCAAAAATGTTCAATACGTATGTAAAACTGTGCAAGAGTTGGGGGGGTCCTATGCATGTGTTTGAAAATGGTGAACAAGCGAATTATGCGCGGAATTCAGAAACGGCTGCGCAACTTTCGAAAAATTTGTGTGCGGCCGCGCAGCTTCGAGGGACCTGTTAATTACTAATTTAACTAGGTCTTTATTACTTTTGTTAGAAATGCATGATGTTAATTTACTGTTTTGGATACTGCATGCGTGTGTTCTTGTTGTCTTCTCATAATTTGCATTTGCCGTTCTTTCAAACATCTCCTTCAGTTACAAAACACTTTGTACGAGGATATCTTTGTAAATCTGGATTATTAGCTTGGTAAATACGACTTGGCAAGTCTAAACAGTTACCATGAGTTTTACTAATTATTCTATTATTTATTTACTAATTCTTCTTTAGAGTAATTCATTTCACAATTATTAATGTCGCTTTTCTATTAAACCTTATGTGAATCGAAAAAATTTTCCAGATTATCCTTTTACAGGAGCCTTCTATGTTATTTTACCATATAAGCTATTTGTAAACTTCGCATGTTTTCATAGAAATGAGATTTCATGAAAAACTAATGAATTTTGGTATAGGAGCAGGTATAGCAAAGTTGTAGAGAATGTAATTCTGCATCTCATGGTATGAAAATATACAGGGTGTAGCATTTAAAAAATTCGAGATTTTTCAATTTTTAAATTGGCAATTTTGACATGATATTTTGGACACCCTGTATAACGCAGGCCAGTTTTTGGGAGCATGATTCGGAAGAGTCATCCTTACATCTGATAAAAAATGGGCTTAGTAGCTATTAGTATAACCTGTCAGTATCAGAAAATGTAAGCAGCCAATATCGACTAGAAAAACCTTTCAAGCGAGATAATCCCAAAAACTGTGAATATTTGAATAGAACTATTCTACACAAAGTACCCTTTATTTTTGATGTAAAATCAGAAAAAAATATAAAAAATGTGTGTTTCCATTTAAAAACCCAAAGTTGGTGTCTGGCCAGGAAAAGTGGATCACCCTGTATAGTTGAATATATTTTTAATTTGTACATTCCGAGAAATTTGGTAACACAGTAAAAAGAAAAATCCATATATTCCTCATTTTAACATAGATGTTGGACTTTCCCGCACTAGTGGGACACGCTGTATATACACACAAATGTAATGAGAAAGTAAAATAACTCCCTAGTAACTGATAATACAGAAAAAACGTTTATATAAAAATTATACAGAATCAAGAAACCTATACTACAAAATTAATTTGATACATACAGGGTGATGAGTAAAAACGGGACACGCTAAATATTACATTTTTTAAATGGAATGCCCTGTATATTTTTAAACATATGGATTCTCTGAGAAAATCCTATATATGGCAATATAAACAGTTTATCATTTTAGTGTGAGGTTGCCAAGTTATGTAGACCTGTAGACAACATGACCTCGAAAAAGTTGTATTAACTTTCAACTACTAACACTTGGAGCAAAAATATTTGATAAGAGTTATAGGCAAATGTTAGGTAAAGACTCCTATATTAGCTAATATCGATATTTTATACAGGGCATTTTTTATAATACGATCATTTTTTAGAAAGTTTAAACTTTAAAATTTTTCTTAATTTTTCATATGGAACACCCTGTATTTTATTCACATATCGGTCCACTTCAACATTTATTAAGCATGTTCTATGTCTAAAATTGTTAGTTTTTCTAATATATAGCAACATTTCTGAAAAAACTTAATTTTTATTATTTTATAGAATACCACAAATAAATATTAACTAATAAAATTAACTCAAAATGGAATGATAAATTATGAACTGACAAGTTGACACAATGTGACAGTTTTTTCCAAAAGCCATTTCATGCGACCGAAAATAATAAAAATTAGGTTTTTCCAGAAATGTTGCTATATCTTAAAAACTAACAACTTTAGGTATAGAACATAATTGATAAAAGTTGAAGTGGACTGATATGTGAATGAAATAGAACAAATAGAACAATAAAATACAGGGTGTTCCATTTGAAATATTTTAGAAAATCAAGTTTGAAATTTCTTAAAATGATCGTATTATAAAGAATGTCCTGTATAAAATATCGATATTAGCTAATATAGGAGTCTTTGCCTAACATTTGCCTACTACTCTGTCAAATATTTTTGCTCCAAGTGTTAGTAGTTGAAAGTTGTTAGTACAACTTCTCCGTTATGTTTTTTCCAAAATTTGAAGAATTTTCTACATAACTTGACAACCCCGCACTAAAATGTTAAACTGTTTATATTGCCATATGTAGAATTTTCTCAGAAATCCATGTTTAAAAATATACAGGATGTTCCATTTAAAAAATGTAATATTTGGGTTGTCCTGTTTTTACTCATCGCCCTGTGTGTTTCAAATTGATTTTGTCCTTTAGGTTTTTTGATTTTGTACAACTTTTATATAAACTTTTTTTCTGTATTATAAATAATAAGGGAGTTATTTTACTTTCTCACACTAATGGCCCACCCTGTAGGTACCAATCTCTTTGTTAATAAACAATGAAAAGTAAAAAAATTTTAATTTAATACTGTTTACATATACATATTCCATTATTTCGAATTTTCCAGTACTCCGGCATTCGTGCCGGATTAATGAGATTTTACTGTATATTCAAAAATCGAGAAATAAGTCAAACGACTAAACTTCAACATGCGATTTCTTAAACGAAAAATGATATCGGGATAAATCCAAGTGCATTTTAAAGAGTAAATATAGTACTTTAAGACCCCATTAATGGTTTTAGCAAAAAAATTTACCTATCCACGTAACATAACCTCAAATATGTCAAAAAATCGCGATTTTGGCACTTTTAGGTTAGGATATCTCAAAAACCTAAGCCAATTGAAAATTTGGACCTCGGATTCGAATTCAGCATACCAAAATCCTTCGGAAAAGTACATTCTGGTTTCTGGGTTAGAGGATCGGCCAAATTTTGCTGACCTGTGTAATTATCGAGTATTATTACAAAATCCTCTACAAAACAGGAAAGGTACATTCCAATGTTTACACTGGTGCCTATATTTTCCGTCATCTTTCACTGCGAAAAATTAAAGGACTCCTTGTATTTCAACATTTCTATAGTTTAGATAGATTTTTTTGTTCGTTGTCTAACTAAATGTGTAATTTGTTGTCTATAAAACGCCAGCCTTAAGTGGAACTAGTGTTTATTCACCTATACAGGGTTGTAACTAAATAAGTGTAAAACATTTAAGGGGGTGATTCCTCATCGAAAAAAAGATAGGATCTTTCATATAAAGAAACTTCATTGGAGCATCCCTTGTTAAGATACAGCCCCTTAAAGGGGGTACATAAAATTTGTTTAACAATTTTTTTCACAAGCACTAAACAAGTTACAATATTGAAATTAACCTGACATTTTCTACTACCAAAAAGACACTTAGCCAGTAAGGGGCAGTATCTTAACAAGGGATGCTCCAATGAAGTTTCTTTATATGAAAGATCCTATCTTTTTTTCGATGAGGAATCACCCCCTTAAATGTTTTACACTTATTTAGTTACACCCTGTATATTGACACAGTGGTCATTCATATTAAACACAGGATTCAAGTTCCCATAAACATGTTCCTCTAGTACTAGTACATGGACTGATAATTTATTATATAACTTTTCCAGATCTTATACTTACATTAGACTAGATTCAGTAAGCCCTGTACCTACCGTAATATTAAAAAATAAATAAAAAATTATAATACATTTATTGTCAAAAAAATTAATTCTTTGAATTAACATCTCAAGAGAAAAAATCCAAAACAAATTTTCTTAAACAAAAAAAGTTCTTTGGCTTATATACACTAATTGTATTGGTGGTGATGTAATAGTAACATTAGTAAAAATAATTTTTCAAATGAAGTCATTCACATCATTATACATATTCATGTAAATGTATTTAGAAACTAAGTCAAATTAAATATATTAATTTATAAATAGGTTTAACTAGCACCAAAAAATTATTAGGATATTGGTAGCTAGAAGCCTAATGCTAAATGTGAAAAATTAATTCTGAACAATTTAATTTTTTTATATTCCTTAGATATAAAAATTATACTTGGTTTTAAAAAAATTTTATTAGAAATTTTTATATAGTTTCGATAATGTTTGAAATAAATTGTGTAATGTCAAAAATATTGACTTTAACATTTTCTACTATGGCTCACGAAATGAGAAATTTTTTACTGAAAATAGTTTTCTAAAATATTCAGCTTATCCAGAAAATAGATTCTTCAATAGTAGCACTGACTTTTAGGCAAGATTATCCACTTTTTTAAATATACATATTATATATAGACTTCTTGTACTCGACTAGAAGTTAAAATAAAGAAGCCCATCTATTATACATTAACTGCACCCCTGCTAGAATTACTTTCAGTGTCTACACTGTGTACATGCACTTCTAGGCTATCACAAATATGTTCCTGTAAACTTCTATCTAGGCAGTCCTCAGATCCTGAGTTACTACTGTTTAAACTTTGATAATCACCATTTATGCTATGATGATCAGACGCTGTAACAAAAGTAGCAGCTCCAGATTGTTGAGAAATTGACCTTGCAGCTCTCTGTAGTGGATTCTCAGTTTGATTCTCAAAAGTACCTCCCTGAGTACCTCGATTATTAGAGTTAATTAATGGAGTCGTATCATCGGCATCAGAATCACTATCAGAATCATGTTGTGGCTCATCATGTGCAAAAACCTTACGCTTACAAATAGGACAGACACGCCTATTTTTTGTTAGCCAAGGATCAATACATTTTGAATGATACACTGTAACAATAAAATTTTACTACATAACACATCTGAAATTATTTATTTGTGGTATTATTTTAGCTTTTTCCCCTGTTTTGTATCTTTTTATCTAATTTGGTGTTTGCCAAAAATACTCTATTAAATAAAATAAAGTACTAAAAAATACCACATAAATAAATAGACAATATTTTGCCATCTGCAAAGTAATTTTAAAAATTGAACAAATCAACTGTTGCGTCAAAAGGTCCCAGTATTATTTTTCTATAACCAAAAATTTAGCATTAATGCAGCTGACAAATAAAATCAACCATTCATATTTAAAAGAACTATCCAACAAGGTGTTACTCCATATACCTTGCTATTTACAAAAAATTAGCGTGACATCATATCCGGAACACGACTGACGCCACATATGCATTCGTCACATCAAAAAGTGAGCAACAAAAAAAATCCAATCGACCTGTTCCAGCAATTTCCAAAAAAATATTAAAAGTTTTAAGAATTTTATTCCAAGCTTTTAAAACATACGGTATATTAGTGGATTTGTAATTAAAATTTCTATTTGATACAAATAAAATATACCAGGTTAGACAAAAAAAAGTACGGGTAAAATTAGTTTCTGATCAAACTGGAAGTTAAAGAAATGAATAATTATCATCAAAATTTTTCTGTCTTCCAGGTTCCTGTATTATTTTCTGAAAAAAAAAAGAAATACATGATCTTTCTCTCTAAAAAAATTGTTTTTTTTTTCTTTATATATTATTTTAATTGATGTTCAATGGTTTTTCTAATTAATTATTCTGATTCTGCACGACATTTGCATCTACATTTTGCCTCATTTAAACACCTCAAAGTAAAAAAGGAAATTGTAGTAAAATAAGAATATGAATAAGATCACCCCTTATACTATAATATTTTGGATATTATTAATTTTGAGCAAAACTGAAGTTTTTGATAAAGTGTATTATTTTCTTATCCTCAATAATAATGTTTAAAAATATATTGCAGGGTGTTTCTGTGTAGATCAAATAAATGCATGTGTTGTTAAAACATAATCACTAATATTAATAAATAAATGCTTTAAATTATACCTTTTTTATTTTGGTTTCAATGTTTCAATTAATATGAATGACAATATACTACATTTTAATTTCAATAAAAGAAATTACCATGGTTACAAGGCAGAATACGAAGTTTTTCTCCTTCAGCATAGTCATCCAGGCAGATGGCACAAGTTTCATAAGGATCCCCCTTTTGGTATTTGCGGGTTGGAATTTTGTTTAAAGTAGATGTTGGCAATCGGTGACGTCTTTGTCTTCTTCTATCTTTGATGAATTTTACAATCTACGATACATTAATAACGTAAGGGTCAGTTGGTGGACAGGTGGAAAAACTGGCCCTAAACCAATCTTAAACAATATTAATAATTATTTTATACTGGGTAATCAAGAAGGACTACACCACACACCCCTGGGATCAAAATAAGACAATTTAGACCAATTTATCTACATACAAAAATCAATGCTTAGTGAAATATGTGCTGCTGAACGTGATAACAAAATACAAGATTTTATATCACTCTAAAATTGTACTAGATAAAGGTTTCTTATATGACACACATCTTTGTTTATTTGAACTTCCACTGCTTTGTCTGCTCCACAACTTTTTTATTCATACATTTGCAATTAATTAATTTAAATTTTTTATACATTATTTTTTCCAAATATTTGGTTCTTGTGAAATTTTGATTTGCTGTTGGTTTCCAGTAAAAAAAGGAAAATCTTCCTTAAATGTGCTAAAATACAAGGAGTTCTGTTCTTTATATTCGGAGGAACTGGAAATTAAAATCCAACTAGAATTCATTTTACTAAATCATTATACAAATAAATAAATTTTCTGATTTTCTAGCATACATTCCAGAAAAATATATTCCGAATCTGCTAGAATTTTGTTACATATGCAATACTCTAAAAATTGCAGATTGGCATTGCATTATTTAGCAAAATTCTAATCTGCGGACGCAATAATCTTCAATAAGCTCCTGAACTAAATGTACTTTGTATGGGTACCATTTATTCTTCTGCAAATATTTTAGAACAGAAGATTTACTTATTGACTGTTCTGCAGCTACTTATCGAGTTGATTTATGAGGATTTTCTTATAAATGGAGCAAAACATTCAATTGTGTGTTTTCTGGACCTGTAAGACGGTTGGTTTTGTAATTGTGTCTTACATGGCCAAAGTCTTTAAACTTTTTTCTATCTTAATAACTACTGATCGTGTAATAGACCTCTCCAACTCTCCGGGTACTTATTAAACAATTCGCATACTGAGATTTTCAGTAAAACGATGCATTATACCGATTTTCAACAAACATTTTTTATGTAGAACTGTCCACGAAATCTAAAAATGAATCCCAAATGATTATTAGGTTATTGGAATAGATGTTGAGGTAAAAAAATCCCACTTAACTACCCATTTCGACGCAACTGACCTACAAAAATTTGTAAATTTTACAGTAAATTATGCACATGTGCAAATGTTAACACCACACCAAATTTGAATTAATTTGTTATAAGCATACCAAAGATTTCAAAAACAATATTGTTTTAACAACCCACCGATAGGGCCCTTTATAGTGAAAAGGGAGAAACTTAGACCCTTGCTTTAAAAGGCAATTCTGATTTATTTATTCAGTTCTATTCACTCGAACTGAAACACCCTGTATATGTATATACAGGCTGTCTACTATAAGAGGGCCACTCCTATGAATTTCGCTTAACATACGACACATGTCAAAAATCTTATGTTTTTTGTTGCATTTTTTGAGGCCTTTATGCTCGTAAAAACAAATTTGAGATCCATGGCCAACTTTGTGAGTAATCATAAAAAAACTGGAAAAGTACCGAAAGTTTAGGGTCGTCTAACTTTTTTATTTTAAGAGATAGAGAAAACTTATTTTAATAAAATTTCATGGCAAAATTGATATCTTTCACCTGGTATAAACAGATTTTGAAACTATCGTATGTCCCTACACGAGCAAAAAAAAATTGCCATCGAAGCAGGCTATGGCCACAAAATAATTGCTTGTTTTTTCTTCTTTTATGTGATATACTACATGTCGCCTTTTACATTTTCTATAATTTTGATATAAAAAAATATAAAAATTTTTTTGTTGCTTATGTTAATGTAGAAATTGTTTTGAACACGCCAAATATAAAAAAAATAATAAATAATGTACTTCTTATTGTTGTCATCTGTTGGTTTGAAAATTGTTACAGTTCATTAAAAAAATAAAAATTTTGAATAAAAATGGTATTTTCACATATTGAGAAGTATAATATGTTTGTGTTGTACTGTCAATGCAATTTCAATTCTGTTCAAGCACTGGCGGAATATAGAAATAAATTCCTAAATGCCGTCCAACCCAACAGAAGAACTTTTCCAAAATTACGAGAAAACCTTCGAAGATATGGATCTTTTAAGGACAGGGCAAGAAAATCAGCTAATGTTGTTAATAGAAAACCGCATTTCAACAGAGGTTTTCAGTAAACGTTTGGGTAGGAATTCTTGATACCAAAATCATAGGACCTTACTTCTATGATGATAAACTGACGAGTGCCAGATATCGCAGATTCTTAGAAAATGAATTTGGCGAGATGCTAGATGATTTGCCACTCGAAAATAGACAGAACTTTATTTATTTCCAGCAAGATGGAGCACTGCCACACAATTCGGATATTGATCAGAATTACCTTAATCAACGATTACACATGGACCCATTGAATGGCCAGCCCGTACTCCTGATTTGTCACCCCTTGATTTTTTCTTTTGGGGTTATATAAAAGATAAAGTCTTCCAGAGTATACCAGAAACTGTGGAAGATCTAAAGTTAAAAATAAGAGAAACTTGTGCCTCGGTGCCTCCTGTAATCCTAAGAAATGTAATAAATGCTGTATCAAGGAGGGTCCGACTATGCGTCAGAAATCGAGGTGGCCTATTTGAGCATCTTACTTAAATTATTATTATTTGTCTGTGTTAATTATACTTATTAGCTGTTAAATTAAATATTTTTGATTATTTATTTTTTAAGTTTACCTTTTCTGTTCTAAATTTAAATAAAAAATTGGTTAAAATTTAGCACTACTTATTTTTACTATTGAACTAATAACAATTGAATCAATTAAATTCATGTTTTGAGAATTAAGAGCACCTCACTTCAAACTTAAAATGTAGGTAGGTACCTTGTTATCGCTATCAAAAATTTAATAATATACCTAATATAATAATTAATATTCTTATAAAAATATTCTTTGTTACAAAATTAAGTTAAGTTAATATAAGAGGAACTTTTTTCTCTTAACTACTTACAGAATTAGAGCTTTCCTCTTCCTCAAATGACTTTTTTATTTTATAACACCTTCAAAATGATTATTTTTCTCTAATGCAAAAACCAATACTATAATAAAGTAATAAGAAAATCTGTATTTTGCTTAAAAGAAGTACATTATATTTATTATTTTTTTTATATTTGGCGTGTTTAAAACAATTTTTACATTAACAAAAGCAACACGAAAATTTATATATTTTTTTATATCAAAATTATAAAAAATGTAATAAATATAAAAGAAAAAGGCAACATGTAGGATATCGCATGAAAGAAGAAAAAACAAGCAATTATTTTGTGGCCATAGCCTACTTCGATGACAATTTTTTTTTGCCCGTGTAGGGGGCACATCAATTTACATACGATAGTTTCAAAATCTGTTTATACCAGGTGAAAGATATCGATTTTGCCATGAAATTTAATTAAAATAAGTTTTCTCCATCTCTTAAAATAAAAAAAGTTAGACGGCCCTAAACATTCGGTACTTTTCCGGTTTTCTTATGATTACTCACAAAGTTGGCCATGGATCTCAAATTTTTTTTTTTTACGAGCATAAAAGCCTCAAAAACTGCAACAAAAAACATATAAAAATTTTTGACGTGCGTCCTATATTATAGCGAGATAGACCATCAGCCCGCTGCAAAAAAACCGTATGATTTCTCCACGTATGCCCTTCAAAGTATTATTGTTAATTTAGCGCATGCTGACCATTGAAAAAGTACAATTAGCCGGTAACCGTGGAACATGCACCGGTAAAGGTAATTCCTAATTGCAAAAACAATCACGTTTTACAATTATATTTACAAGTATGCCGAGCATACTAAACGGTATTTTAGCAACAATTAATCGGAAAACTGTCGGCATACGGGCAGAGTGGAACCGAAGGGTCGGGTGACGCCCTTAAAAGTGTAAATAAATATTGCATTTGTAAATGATAGTTACACGTATGCCTATTCGAAATTCAACAGTTTTTGGCATAAAGTGCACAATTTCCAAAGGGATACGGTTCCTAAAGGTCTAACTAACTTCTCACCTGTATGATTGTGTATTAATTGCACAGGTATGACAATGATAATACCTACCAAATTAAATTAAGATTGCAAAATGACTGTTTTATCATGAACTTTTAATTTCCTAAAGGGCATACGGTTATCGTGGAACCCATACTAAAAAAAAACGTTTTAAAGAGAGCAAATTTTTAGGTTAAATTTCAATGATAGCGCCACGTATGCCATTGTTATTTTTGTTAAATATTGACATAATTATGCAAGTTTAACAAACTGCATACGAATCGGTTGGAACAAAATCATTTTATAAGATAACTATGCACTTCGCAAAATGATAGTGCCACATATGCCATTGTTATTTTTGTTAAATATCTACCTAATTATGCAAATTTTTAAAACGGCACACAAATCGGTTGGAACAAAATTGATTTTATGTGATATGATGGCTACGTGAATTATCATATCTATTTGTGAGTTATAGCATCGAAATTCGAAATTACTCCATCATTTTTGAGTGTTGTAGCTGAGACGCGGCATACTTGAGATTTGGAGTATACACTTTGTGGGTTAAGAACAGTTTATTTTTTTCAAACTATAAGTGTCTAGTTATTTTGCCAAATGAATTAAATTTTTCTTCTGTGTTGAGTTCTTACAAAGTGCTCAAAATTTGTACATCAATCAAGGACATTTAAATAAAGGGGACTTATTTATTTACATTTCTAGATGAAGCCTGGTCTGTTCACAGTCTAATTGTATCATTGTTGTCAGCTGTATAATTATACTGGAAATGTACTTAATATTTTTATCGCAATTTTCATCACAATTGCATGTGAAAATTATTATTATAGGATAGTATTATTAAGTTATGCATACAATATTGTTAAATTCTGTACATATTAAACTATTTTTCATTTTTCATATTTGCCATGTTTGAAGACTTGGCAACTACGCAATAATTTGTAGCGTGTTCCTCGTTCGTTCTGCCGTGGTTGGCAGAATATGGCATCTCTTGTTAGAAAATAGTTGTGATTTTATTAAGTGAAACAAGAGAACGTTCATGGGTTTTTCATATATGAATATTTATATTTTCCAATACACACTGAATATGTTGTAACAATTAAAACACTATATCCGAGAGAAAAAAAATTACCAGAACACCCTGGACCTCTCATTTCCCAGGATATATCAATCACCCTGTACAATTTGTCATCAATGATAAGTGTAACAAATTTGAATGAAATGGGCCATATTGTATAAATTTTTTAAATGTCCAGAAATAATCCTTATAAATGACCTTAAAAAATTATGTAGAGAAAATATTAGAAATCTTTTTAATTTTTTAAAATCCTCTATTTCTAAATCTTAAAGGTTGTTAATTAATAATTAATTAAAGTTGGGCGGAAAATAAATGTTTTAAACAGGCACTCTAATTTGTAATGTCATTTAGTTGACAGAGACGCAAATGTCTGACATCATGAACATAGTAAGTAACAAGAGTCTAGAAACAACCAAATTCACTTGCTTTGAGGCTCCCTGCATACGCTTTTCTTTAAATTAAGTTCCATCTCGGCATGGGAATTGTACACTAGACGACAGACGGCCAGGAAGCAGGTTGTGTTGTCGGTCATACTAAATGACATCCCAATGCGTTCTTGATCAGTATCAAAATTTAATGTTTGACATAATTTTAAACGTCTGTAATTAATTTGTAGCATTAAAGAAATAAATTTGTTGACCACTGTTTGTGGTTGTTGGTTATAGACTACAAATTTATGTAGTTCTAAAAGAAATTAAATTTTCACAGTACCTAGTTGCTTAATGCTTGACTAAAAAAAATCCTAGATTTCTAAAAATTACTTTGGGGAAAATATTACTTTTGTTTTTTATCTTAATAAGGTTTCTTTTATTTACAGTATTGCTGCTACACTCACTTCACATGGCATCTATTAGTGAATTCCCATAAATTTTTTTATCAAAATGCTTTCATATATAAATAAAAAAGTAAATAAATTTCTGACATCAAAGCACATTGCGAGCTCACGAAGTCTTTTGTCCAGCAAACTGCTTCTCTTCAAAGTTAAATGTAATTTCTGATATACAGTAGAGCCTCGATAATCCGTACTCAGGCTAATCCGAACGCCGCTGTAATCCGAACTGCCGACTGCCCCCCTCTCTCTCTTATCGTGGCCGCTGATCTTATGTTTTGTTTTCAGTTGCGAATGAGTTACCTCGCGTGTTCTCGTTACTCTGTGCTAAACTCGCGCGCCACGTGTTTTAGAGGTTATAAAAATGGTTCCTACACCGAAACGCAAACATAAAATTTTAACTATAGCTGAAAAGTGTGCCATACTGGATAGTTTGAAAGATGGAGTGTCTAGAACTTCTCTTGCCCTTAAATATGGTGTTGGAAAATCGACAATTACTGATTTAAGGAAAAAAGAACCGAAAATATGTTTGTAGCTCAAACCGAGAAAGGTCCAGGTTTAAGAAAAACGCTAAAATTGACAGAAAATCCAGTGCTCGAAGAAGCACTTTTCACTTGTTTTTTAGAGCAAAGACGAAGACACCTTCCTTTATCAGGCGAAATCGTAATGTATAAAGCCAGATTCTTTCATAAAAAACTAACAGGGTCTGATTTCAGTGCAAGTAGAGGGTGGCTGGATAATTTCAAAAAGCGTCATGGCATACGGCAGCTGAAAGTGTCAGGTGAGAAAGTCTCTAGTAATGCGGAGGCTTTTCAACCATTCCAAGAAAAGTTTTTGAAAGAGATAAGAGAAAAAGACCTTTGTCCTGAACAAATCTACAATGCAGACGAATCAGGATTGTTTTGGAAGGTTCTGCCAGATAAAACTTTAGCCTCTTCTGCTGAAACTAGTGCTTCTGGATCCAAGGTATCTAAAGAAAGAATCACTTTTATGCCTTGTGCAAACTCGATAGGGAATCATAAATTACAGTTACTAGTCGTAGGGAAGGCCAAAAAGCCAAGATCTTTTGGATCCGTAAAATTACCGGTGCATTATCAAGGACAAAGGCGTGCTTGGGTAACTAGAGATATTTTCCTGGAGTGGTTCAGAGAACATTTCGTTCCAGAAGTCAAACGTCATTTGAAGAAATTACGTCTACCACAAAGAGCATTATTGCTCTTAGATAATGCGCCCGGACATCCAGATGCTGAAGATCTGACTACAGAAGATGGCAATTTTTTCGTACTGTACATGCCACCAAACTGCACACCCTTGATTCAGCCTATGAATCAAAACGTAATTCAAAATGTCAAGATTAATTACAAGAAGAAACTGCTGATTCAAGTTTTTGCGCAACAAGAAGATGATGAAAGTTTAACACTACATGATGTTATTAAAAGCATCACAATTAAAGACGCAATTTTTTCAATAGCGCAATGTTGGGATCACGTGTCGTCGTCTCTCATCAAAAAATCTTGGAAGCCTCTATGGCCTGACCAATTCAATGAAGCAGAAAATGGATCAGAAGAAAACGATGGCTCTGACGTGGAAGACAATCTCCCACTCAGTCTTCTACGCAACCGTGGATATACAGAAGAAACCATTTCCACTTTCTTGACAATCAGCGAAGAGGAGAATTGCACAGAACCCATAACTGATGATGAGATCATAGCCCAACTTAGGCAAGAGACTGACGAGCTTTTTGTTGACAATACTTCTGCTTTAAACGTCAAGAAAATTCCTCATTCACAAGCTATATCAGCACTGAATACTTGTTTGGATTGGGATGACGAAAATGACTTTTCTTTATCCGAAAAGATGATGCTGCGAAATTTGAGGGACAAAGCCTTTTCTTGGTCAATAAATAGAACCCGCCAAACTAAAATTGATGACTTTATGAATAAGTAACGTATATTTTGTGGTTTAAATATGTATCTTGTAGTAGGCATCTCAATAAATATACATATTCTGTCAAAATATACTTGCCTTTTTTTTAACATACTATAATCCTAACGCCCCGCCAGTCCGAACAGGGGTTGTTTTTTGGTAGTTTGGATCATCGAGGCTCTACTGTATACATATATGTACAGGGTGTCCCACCATGAACTCCATCGATGAATATCTGGGAAACCACTCAAAGAATTTTTTGAAATTGTATTGGTGTGATACGGACCGTGGGGCGTACCAGGCTAAAATATTTTCAAAGTCATCGTACTTTCGATTATACCGGATGTCGATATTAACTTTGTTATTTTAAATGAAACCCCCTGTATATTATCGCATTTTTGGAAAGAGCATCTATTTTAGGATTGACCGTTTCTGAGATATTTTGATTTTTAAGCAAAAATTGACAGATGCAGACTGTCGGCAAAATTTAATTTTCCCGGAATCATAGGTTTAGTTTTTTTGTGCAAATTGGACATTTTGTAGAGGAATACCTAATTTATCGAATTTGACATGAAAATTTTCCAGTTTTTATACAGGGTGGTCAAAAAAAAAATTATCGAATATGAATTTCAGAAAATGTGGAAAACGAAATTTTTAAATGGAAACCCCAAATTTTTTTAACGTATACGCATTCTGCACTAAAATTAAGTGTAACTTTGTTAAAGTTTCCCTATATCTAAACCCAGTGGATTTCATTTTATTTACAAACTTTCACAAAGTTACACTTAACTTTAGTGCAGAATGCAAATACGTTAAAAAATTAGGGGTTTCCATTTAAATATTTTCCACATTCTCTGAACTTCATATTCGATAATTTTTTTTTTGGCCACCCTCTATAAAAATTGGAAAATTTTCATGTCAAATTCTATAAATTAGGTCTTCCTCTACAAAATGTCCAATTTGCACAAAAAAATAACCTTGTGTTTCCGGAAAAACTAAATTTTGCTGACAGTCTGCATCTGTCAATTTTTGCTTAAAAATCAAAATACGTCGGAAATGGTCAATCCTAAGTATGGAGTGTGCTATATGTTTTCAACTTAAAAATAGATGCTCTTAAATAAGAAAGTTAGTACGATGACCTTAAAAGTATTTTAGCTTGGTAGGCCCCACGGTTCGTATCACACCATCATAATTTCAAAAAAAATCCTTTGAGCGGTTTCCCAGATATCCATCGATGGAGTTCGTGGTGGGACACCCTGTATATATAAAAGCAATATTTTACCTCACGCATGTTCAACACAAATATGTTTGATTGTTTGAACACAGTATTATATTTCTCATTTATAATAAATAGACAATTTAGGTACTCACCATAAAAGTAATCATCACTATAAAACAAATTCCGACAACAATGGCAAATGGAATCAGAAGATGAGTTTGTATATTAAATGGAGATTCTCCAGTTATCACCACAAAATATTTAGGGTCTGTATAAATATTTTTCAACATTTCCCCAGAGGAATAGCTTACAAATACAGAAGGTATATTAATACCAGTACCATTTTTAGCAGACATTGGCACTAACTCTTCTGAATTAATGTTATACACTATAACAGCATCATATCCTGCTAATTGTGCTATACGAACTTTCTCCTCAAATGAACAGTTAAGTTCAGATGTATATCGTGGTACAAGTAACACCCATTTTCCTATTTCATTAACTATGTTTGTTGGTGGCGGTTTTAGTGACTTATTACAAGCACTAGGTGGCTCTGGGTTTACCAGCATTCCTCGCACTGCTGAAAAAAAAAACAATATTAGACTTGCTAAATAAAAAAAAACAAATATAACCATTACTATATCAGATACTTTCATTAGTATTTCTTACATAGTTGATTATATAAAAGTTTCTAAACATATACACGGTGTTTCAAAATGGTGTTGCTAAAATTGAGGGGGTTATAGAGGACATTGTGAAAGCAGTTTTGTATATAAACCCCTAGTCGGAAATGAACCGTTTTGGCCCAGGAGCAATTTTTGTCCAAAAACGTAATGTTATTATGATGACTCCAAAAGGCTTCGATATTTAAGTAATTTTTATTAAGGATAACGCAAAAATAGTAAATTTATAATAAATGTTCAAAACGGTTCTTTAGTTTGATGCAAAACCTCCTCAATGACCACTGTCCGTGTAGTTCGTAGATGTCAACTTCCTACATCTAGTGTAAAGTTGTATTTTTGTCTTAACTGACGATGGATTAACGAAAATGTTGTTCGGCAAGGATGTCGGTGATTGGGAAAGCGATCAGCTTCTCTAGCGTTGCATCTTGTTTCGCCATAAATAAGATGCATGTCTGCAAACTCTTCGAACGTAAATTGGTCCATTTCAACAACTTCGAAGCAAAATTTCGTCGCAAATAAAAGAAATGTGAAACACTCAATTAGGTCCGATCATTTATTACGTGACAGATTTGTTCATTTGTTTCACTATTCCTCACAGCGAGACACAGATGACATTGCATTGATAAAAAAGTTGTGGATAAAATCAATTTTTACCAACATCGTATATAAGACATGCAGTTGATAAACACTTATCAGAAGAGATAAACGTGTTTATTTTGTTTCAAATCTGTTTTTTTTTTTTTTGTTACACTTAAAAATTACTTAAATATCAAAATCTTTTGGTGTCAACGAGATAACATTATGTTTTTGGACAAAAATTGCTCCAGGTCCAAAATGGCTCATTTCCGACTAGGGGTTTATATACAAAAATTTTCTACCACAATGTCCTCTATATCCCCCTCAAGTTTGGCAATATCTTTTTGAAATATCCTGTATATGGTAAAATTAATTTATTCACACTTATTACAATCACACATACATACACAAATTTGTGGAAGTATAGGTTATCATACCTACAAACATTTTCGTTATTCCTATAAAAATTAAAATATACTGGTCTATATTCCAGAAATAAAAACAAAAATTTGAAGAGGTAATTTTACTCATAAATATAATGGTAGAACTTCAATGAAATGTTTTCAAAAACTTGTTAACTATAATCTCAAATATATTTTTGTAAGATAGTAATTCTTTTTGCACCTTTAAGACCCTATTTTAAATATTAGGAGTTTTAAGTTAGAAATAAGGCACAAATTCGCCCGGCATGGCGTCTGGTATTTGTAAACAGGAGTAGCTAGTTAACCTGTTAACACCTAATGGCTTTGTTTAGATTATAAATTTCAGGCAGACCCTTTTACCTAAACTTTGAAAAGAGATCACTTCTATCTATGACTGTGCTGTGAAAACCTATTTAGTAGTAATTACAGCAAATTCATATAACTTTTCACCTATCTACTAGAAACTATAGCCTATTCATATAACTTGTCAGTTTTTCTCTCACCGAGCATACCTATTTATTACAAATTATAGCTAATTCATATATGTTGTGAGTTTTCTCATTGAGCATACCTATTTATTAGAAATTATAGCTAATTCATATAAAGTACATTTTGAAAGTAATTGTTAGTTAGCATTGTTTTATTTTACGTTGTCAATTTTATTGAGAAGTTAGATTTTTGATTTGACGAGCATCATTAATTAGATTGCATATTCTTTTGAAGAAATAATTATGTGTCCTTTGCATAGATTAGTAAAGTCTTATTTCGAGATATACGATATACCCAGTACAGTGTCATTTGAGTAACACTAAGAGTTATTATAGAAAGAATTATTTTGTGTTAGTAACTGTTGATGAATTGGCATTATGAATTATGATGCTAGATCTGCATAATTGATTGGCCAGTTACTAGTAAGTTTAATGACATTTGATGTAAATAAGTTTTTACATCACTGTTTTTTTACTGTTTTGCTCGTCAATACCGACAGTGTAGAGATCCATGGATAATGTTTTTGAGTGAGTCTTATGATGTGTTTGTCACGGTACTCAGTACTCAGTACTTGCATCGCAAGTTTGCCCTTTGCATCCATTAACCCCTGGTGCTGGATTAGTCGAGAGGGTGTCCTCAGGCTAATCGGTGCCACAAAATGGGAGCATTTTGGTGGGTGTTTTGAGTTTGCCCCAAACATCCATTGCACACCTGGAGTTGATACGGGAGGGGTGTCAAGAACAATATGAAAATGCTTAGATTTGTTTAGATGTTTAATATACAAACGAGTTTGGTGATAAGTAGTATCACAGTTGCTTATTGATTGTGCAGTAGATATATCACACCCTGTATATCTTTCATGTTAAATGGACACAGTTATATTTTCAAACAGAGGCGAAGTACTTACTCAGTAATCACTGATACATTTGTTAACTAGACATATTTAGTGGCCACTACTAAGAAAGGATCACCTCATCTTACCATCAAAATAACCAAGTCCTAACCTGCCCCGACAAGAGCCCATATTTGTCGAAGCTATTTACGTTTTTCTTTAGTTGAACATACATATTTACAATAATATATACAATATATATATACAATAATCGATAACGGATTTTTACCGTTCTTACCCTTTTCAGCCCTTTATTTCTCCTTAAGAAAAATATCAAAGCTTACATTTTTTTCTAATTAATGTTTTACTATAACTTTTTCCAGCCAAGTGATTTTTTTCAAATTTAATATAGGTGTTAGGAATTTGACAAGACAGTTATCATTTGTTTGTTGATATTACTGTCACAAGGGAGCTCACCACAGCGGATGAAAGACGTCGAGTACCAAGAAAACGATACACATTCTCTAGCAAGCTCGCGGGTTATGCAATTCATAAATGTCTAGAATAAAATTGAGTTTTAATCTTTTTGTTTAATTAAAATTCCAATAATCTTAAGAAATCTAACACTTAAAACAAACTATACCTTCAAAAAAGAATCATCAAAATTCTGAATCCATAAGGGTTTAAATGGCCTTTATTGACTATTAAATTGTTCATAACTTTTTTATATGCAGTATTTTAAAGAGTTAAACAAAATGATAAAAAAATCCTTTAAAAATCATATAAATAAGGTTCTCTTATTCCAAGTCGATAACATTAACCGGTTTAAGACCATATTTTCTGTTCAAATCAATCATTATTTTTTTGACTACACAATTTATGTAAACTAATTAATGTCTTTAAAAATAATTTGAGATTTTAGTACTTATAATTATGGTATAAAACTAAATATATTTGAATCCAGGTCCATTTATACTTGTTCAGATTGTTGTACCTTTGCCTATTTAGCTGGTCATTGCCGGTATAGATTTACAATGTATTTCCTTAGCCTTAGCAAACAATTTTTGACTTTATACTTATACTTTTAAGAAACAGCATGGGCTGTGAAAGCTTTAAAACTACTACCACGTTTACTGTTTTTTAGGATTGGCCCAAAGCATTAATTTTGTTATTCTTGAAAGCAGTAAATGTTATTGGCTTAGTTATGAAACCATTATCAATAAATATCATTTTGTAACAAATTTTTAAAGATCTTTAATAAGCTATTTAATTTTATGATAAAGAGTTATGAACAATTTTCTAGTAAATAAAGGACTTCTACGCTTTTTAGAGCTTCACAATTTAGATTAATTTTATAGAAGCAATATTTTATTAGTCACAATTATTTCAATTCATTTATTCATTTTTCATATTTTTTAATTATGGAGTATAGATAATAAGTACAACCAGAAACTTGTTTTAATTGGAACACCCTGTACATTTGAGCAGATTTAAAAATATTAATTTCTTTTTTTTAAATAGAACACCCTATATTTTACCCTAAGTTATATAAAATTAAAATGGTCATGGTCTTACTTATATCTACAAAAATGGTTAATGATAATTACATACGTATATATACAGGGTGTCCCATAATTAATTGAACATTAGCTAAGGGGTGATAGCTGGTATCAAAATAAAGCGGGCCCAACAGGTCTTGGCAAAATGTTACTCTTTTTTGTTCTACAGGATGTTTCAATATTATTATTATTATTATTTATTGGTGTTTAAATACATAATAAAATGCTTCCACAAGTGATAAAAGTAAAGTTACAAATGCATGTACAAAGGTAAAAAATAAGATAAAAGTACAATCACATACACATACACAACACTGAAATGAAGAACTAGATTTTATTAATTTAAATAAATTATTTAATTTTTTTAATTTCATGGGTTATTTTGCAAATAAAATAGTAGTGTTACATATTAACGTATTCGTAATTTTATTATCTATCTTTTATTGTCAAGATTCAATATGGCGCCCACAAAAAAAAACAATTATTGAATGTTGTATAACTAAAACTAGTGACTAGAAATTATCTTTCGACGAAAATGGATTCCTCGTATCTACTTATCCCCCAGTACCAAATTTCAGCTCTTTCTGTTGTGATATAATGACGCTAGATGGCACTTTTTGAAGTATGTATTTTGTTTTTTCACAATATTTCAGGAACGGCAGTAGATATCTTTGATCTGTTTGGTTTATTTTAATGACCCTGAAAAGGCTCAACTTTTTTCTAATATGAGCCACTCTGTATATCTTACGGTTTCCCACATGCCAATGGTGAGCCATGAAAAATGGACCACCGGGTGATTTTAACCTGAAACTTTCAATTATCTCGAGAAATAAGCACAGAACAGGCGTCCTTTCTGGGATGCTTGGTCAACGCGATTTCCTTCGCTTATGACTTATCGAAGTGCTTGAGTAAATCTGCTTTCAAAATTTTTTTTTTATATTTTATTTTAAAGATACCATTTTTGTTAGAAATAATTTTTATGAAAATGTTTTATTATGTTTACTTTTGACCTTAGTATTATTTCTTTCTTCATGTTTTTTGTGACTGCAAAAACACAAATTAAACGTAGAGAGAAAGAAATAACTTTAAGAAACAAGTCATTTTAATCAAGCACCAGAAGGAAACAGAAAACTACTATGTCCACATTGGTTATGCTAAAAGCCATTTACATTTCTACAAGTAATAATTTCCTAGTTATTCAAAATTTGTAAAATGAATAAACTTTTTTGGCGATGAATTTCTCGAATATTTACATAAAACATATTTTTTCATTGCAAACGCATTGCAGAATACATAGATTCTGAATATGAGAAATGGAGAAAAATTGAATTCCATCGATTACAGTCATCTACATATCATGAATCGAAAAAAATATTTCAGACAAATCCTAAGTATTTTTAGTCGTAGGATTCGAATCTGCAATACAAAATGGGGGTTCCTCTTTAAGATTACAGTTCCCTTCTCCCCACCTACAGGGGATGGGGGAGGAACTTATTTTAGCATTAGTGTATTTCCCCTGCGGAATGATTAATTTTTATTATTGACATTTTTTTCGTAGGGTGCTTATTTCTCGAGATATTTGAAAGTTTCAGGTTAAAAAAAACACCTGTTATATATCCAAAACTATTGCAGATAAGTATTAAAAATTTTCCTACGTTTGGACTGTTATCAAGGAACTTTTAAAATGCGCAAATCAAGAACAGAGCGCACTGGATGTAGGATGAGATAGAAATGTAGGCAGCACGTAACATATAGTAAAGGTATAAACTCCCCAGTCCACTACTTTGCTATTACACATCCTACTCTCAGGGCTCAAATGGATTAGTTTACCTGCACTTAATGTTCTAAATGCGAGAATATTCTCAATGTGCACTTTCTCGCAAAAAAAATGAAATATCCAAAGTTTAACATAAATTTGCAAGTCCTTCATGTTTATGCTTATTTATTATCGTTTATTCTCATTTATGCTTGATGAAATTTACAAAAAAATAATTGTTAAGCCTTTATAATACTAGGTCTACTAGAAAAAATAATAGAACTTTTCTATAAAAAATGGAATGGACAGTAAAAACTGTAAATTTGTATCTTTCTTAATCAGAAAATTTGAAATTAATGAATATGGACAATTTAAAAAAAAAAATCGGAAAGTTGAAAGAAATATTATCTGCAATGTTCTATCGAAATTGGAGCAACTTTTTTCTATGACCTTTTATAAAAGGTGATAGGTACATCATATGTTTTAAAATTCATATTGCTGTAACTTTCAAGAAAAATGAACATTGCAAAAAAACATAAAAACACCTATTACTTAAATGTAAATGAAAATATTTTGTACATAAATGTGCAACTCTTCGAGATTCTATGGAGGGCACCCCGTATTTTAATTTATTTTGCAAATTTCAATAGAAATTTTTTCATCACAAAAATCATCTGTGAACCTAGAAATCATCTCCCAAAAACAGAATTTAATTCTTTAATAATATTCATCTACTTAAATGTTTTATGAAAGAAAATCTGCAATTGTTAGTCAGTTTATTCCAGTAGTTAGACAATACAATGCCGTTTTACGCCATAGTTTCCACAATGTGACGTCCATTTGGCAAAATTTAATTAATTAGTTATGTATTAAAAAAAAAAACATTTAAATGTCGACGATTATAAAAATTGACTTTTTCCCCATACATTCACTCATAAAAAATAAAAATGTTCACAAACACAACGCAGAATGAAAAAAACTGATCACTAAATAATGATAAAAAAACAGTGGCCGAAAACTAGCTCATTCAAAAACTTTTTTCAGTCACAAATAAGAATTGAAAAATGACTAGCAAATGCTTGTTTTTTGGTGGTTAAAAATTCAATTGAATTGATTATATATATTTTTGGGAAGAGAATATTGTAACCCAACTTGCAAATATTGGAAAGACAATACATTTATGTGCATATTATACCCGGTTCTCAGCCACCCTGACTGAAATCGAGATTTAACTTATTTTAACCTAAACGTAATAGTTAAATTTAAAGTTTAAATATAATGTCATCTACATACCCCAAAAACATAAATAAAAAATGTTACCTTCTAAATAGTATCACCTTACCAATACTTTTTATACCAAGGCTGCAACAATATCCGTTATATCGATATATACAAACGTGTTATAAATTAGCATTTTATGCAGCAGCTGAAGGAATACTCAAATTTAATGACATAAAGGCGACTGAAAATAGGCATGGTATTCTTTTAATTTGTAGTCTTAGGGTTTTACTATTATTGAATTTAATATCCTCTAGTGGGCGAGAACCAGCAAAGGCCAAGAATAGATAAAACCACATTTGCAAAAATCAAATACAATAAAATTTGATCACCCTTTCTCTTTCGAGATATCCTATGCAGAGTTTAAACTGTGCCCAATTTACATTGTGCATCACAATTGGAGTAAGGAATCTTCTATAGCAAATTACTTTTTTTACCATTTTACTCACCTCCATCTGCTAATTTTGGTCCAAACTGTGCCTGAATATCTCCAAATTCTTCAAAATAAAATTGTGACTCCTAAAAATGACAAAAGAAAAATTGTGCATACAAAATTTTGTAATACTTACGAATTTAATAGCATAAATTTCTGCGCTGCATCTTTTCAATAAACCCAGAAATATATATAACAAGAAACACTTCATGATTAAAAATGAGTATTTAACTGTATAAACACATTACAAGTCTCCTTAATGGAAAAGTCAATCCTTTAAATTTTGATGAAATAATATTCATTCCTACAAAATACATAAATATACATTCACATATCTAAAAATGAAAACTATTAAATTGAAATTATATTTATGGGAGAAAAAAAACAATCTGTCAAAACAATCAACCTTCAACTAAATAATTACGTCTTGAATTACTAAAAGAAAAACAAAAACTTTACACAGAATTAGTTGTAATGAATATAAGTCCCATGACATGGGTAAATAACACAATATTCATGCAGTTGGAAAGTCAACAAAGTAAAAATACAATATTTTTATTCCATACAAAATCTCGGAATGCACAGCTTTGACGGCTTTGACATTTATAGCCATAGAAAATATAGTACTGTTTCTATGTTTATAGCTGACAAAATGCTGACAATCAGTGTTGCCACTGTTGCCAGATAATACGAGTACGAGTTCCATTTACAGGAATTAAGGTGCATTCAGAATCAATTTGCTAGCCAACTCACACTTCGGCACGAAAGTCTGCACGGATTTGACCATTCAGAATAAAATTCAGGCGACACTTGGTACATGCGCGTTGGCTTCAACTTAAATCAGCTGTTTTAGCTGTATACTTTAAGTTATATTTATATTTTGTTTGTTTTCAAAATTTTAAATTAAAATGTACAATAATAATCTATAATAATAATTAAAATGAGCCAATTCCAAGCTGCTCCTAAGTTTAGCAACGAATTTTTATTACAGTGTATCTCCAATTACAGACCACTATGATAAACCTGGCAGATTATAAAATTGAAAAAAAATGTTGGGCTCACTGAAACGAGCCTTACGAAGAAAATTTTCATAAAATTCATTATTTCTCCGGGCCGTTCGAATTGGTCTTACTCCCCCAAGACCCAGAAGTCTTTTAATGGAGTTTTTTTTGCTCGAATTGCCATAATAGCTGTCTTTTTAAGTAACAACAACAGCATTGTTACCTGTAAAAGAGGGGATAATCAGTTTCCCATTCTTCCATCGTGGTTAATCAACATAATGGTTAAACTAATTTCAAAATTCCATAAAATTAAAATTATGTTGACATTTTATTAAAACAATCATATTGCGCATATCCCGTAACCGGCACGGAAGTCGGCACGGACGTCAAAGTTTGCAGCTTGCGAGGTTTCACGCGCACTTCAACTCGTTTGCCAGCTCGAGATTTTATTCNCACTATAGAATAAATATAATTTTTAAAATAATAAGTGTATACGCTACAAAGGTATAAATGTGAATAAGTCTGCTTTGGTATAATTTTTAACAACCTCCTACCTAGCAATAGGGTTGTTGACCAAATTTCAAAAAGTAGATAATATAATTCTACACGTACTAATTAGTGTGTATGCACAATTAGAGATTGAGAAATGCGTCAGAACAGTTTTAAAATAATTATTTAAAACTGATTTTTTTACAATAGGTCTGTTCCAACAAGAGTCAGGGATTGGTTCCCAACCGTTCGAAATGTTTGGTCAGCTAGATTCTAAATGTGTCTTCAGTGAATATATCGCAAGAATTAGTTGGATGCACATTTCTGACGGTTTGGAACCAATCCCTGACTCTTGTTGGAACAGACCTAATATTTCAAAACGGCTGTGACGTCATAAGGGGCACCTTGTACTGAAATTATGTGTAAATGATTGCGTAAAGGAAAAATATTGGAAGAAGAAGACGCTCTGTCAACACTGTCAGTAGTGTCAGTCTGTCAGTGACACTGTCGTATTTTCAAGTCTACGAGTTCGCCATTATTCTATGGCTAGAAATTGGCCTCAATGATTTGGGATCGAGGGGGATTATCCCTCTTTATCCTGCCTCATCTCGTGTAGGCCTG